CGTCAGGCTGTGTGGCAGTGATACCGAGTAACGAGAACACCAAGAAAAAACCCCCAAATGTGCCTTTTAGGCCACAGAGAGGACACTTATGTACAATGTAGAGCTAAAACAAGGAGACAGAGTGCGCTCCTGTTCAGTCTCAGCTGGGCAGGGCCACATCAGGCCAGTCACCCAGCCATTATCTACGAGTGACCACATCACGTGAGGGTTGGCTAGAGGTTCCAAACACACTTGAGCAAGTCTGTGAATTATCAGTGAGACTCGGAGAACCACTAGGATTGCCTGTCGAACATGAAAAGGAAGGAGCGGTGATAAGTTTAATTGGCTCCCGGCACTGGGTGTGGGAGCTTGCTCTGTGAGAAACTCCTGCTCGCCCCCCAAATGCCCACGGTTTGGAGAGTGAGCCTCAGGCGAGCCGTGCAAGCCCCAGGTAAGATGGCACAGTTGGCCCGTGCGTCCACAGAACTGATGAAGAGCCGCTGCAGACTTTGCCAGTGGGTATTGATCAGTCTGTCTCATCCAGGACAGACAATAGATCAATAAATGCTTTTAAAACCAAAAAACAAAAACAAGTGAAACAAGTGGAAGCTCTTCAAGAAGGAAGCCTGAAATGTGGGTGAGGCCAGGAGTGTCCCCAGGGCCCACGACTGCTCCAGGGGTCCTCTTGGAGTCTGTCTGCACATCCCATTCCCACCGTGTCAACAGGCCTGTGACTGAGGACCTAGAGGGCAGACAAGGACAGGACCAGACTCTGCCTCTCAAAGCACTGGGGTTGGTCCACTCCTCTGGCTCCAGCTCCTTATGAGAAAAGACGATGATGCCTTCACTTGAGATTGGAAGTCTTAGTGGGTCCACTCTGACCTCTTCCATAGACAGTGTTAAAATCCTGGGCATGAGCTGCACCATATGCATTTTTAAGATGGCGGCCAAGCAGAGAAAGGTTGGTAAGTCTTCACACGGCTCCCATGAGTTGCTGCCTCATGGGAAACATTTTTTGACTCCCTTTGTAATACTCTTATCTACTTTCTCAATTTGTACAATGTTCACATGTACTTTGCTAAATGAGGCGCAGGAATCTGGACATCCTGCTGGGTTACCCTAGGGCCCTGCATCTGCTGCTGCTTCTCGGCCAAAGGGCAAGGAACCACAGGGCTTTACGTCTGAGGGCTTATTGACTCTCGCTCAGAGGACAGTTCATGGCAGCTGCCAGCTTCCAGACTCACCTGTGACCCAGGTGTCAGACAGGGCATGATCCAGAGCACCATCCTGGCCCCAGGTGGGCACTGTAGAAGTCTTAATGAAATCAGACCTTAAGGCTCAATTTTAACAGGCATCCCCCAAAAGGGTTAGGGGGGATAACTATCACCATTCAGTGAGTCATTATGAAGTGATGAAATGCACCGGTCCCAGGTAGGGGTGGTTGAACATCCTTAGAAATGGCTTAACATGGAGGATTTGGGGAATGGTCCATTTTACGTCTTCATGAACGTTGATCGCTCTGTCATGATGCTGGCTCTGGACACTGTAGTTATCTTCCCCAAGGTACCAGAGTCTTGTGAGAGTAGGAATCTGAAGAGTGACACATGGGTGTGCCTCCTGGGATTATGGGTGAAAACCAGGCTACCATCTTGAGCAGCAGGTTACTGCATCAGATCTCACCAGATCACCACAGCCCGCAGCACAGAGCACCCGATGGCTGTCCTAGAGATGACTCTCCAGGGTGCACTGGTGTGTGCGGGGCCAGGCTTCTCCGTGACACGGCAGGGTAGCCTTCAGACCCTGCTGGCACTCTCTTGCTGCCTGGCCCATGCTGGGCACAGTGAATGCAGAGATGACCAGAATGAGGCCCCTCCCTTCACGAGGTTTGCAGGCAGACCAGCGCCAGGCCTGCTGGACCCACTGAATCCTTAGGTATCAGAGGGCCAGCCAGGCTGCCAGACACAGCAAGGAGCTGGGGTACAACCAAGCACCCTGTGGGTTCTTGTCAGCACAGGGAACTCTTGGGACTGGAGTAGGATTTGACCAAAGTCTACCTCCTTCCTCTGTAGGAGAAATAATAATAACACCAGAAATAACAGCAGAGGTTGTGGGGACAGCGAAGGCCCAGAGCAGACCCACGTGCCAGGAGCCATGCCAACTGCTTTCCAGGAAGGCCTCATGGAATCTTCCAGCAAGGCTGGGAGGTGTAGAGGGTGGGCTGTCTCCAGGAATGACATGACCTCCATGCTGGGAGGTGTTAGATTCTGCTATTTTCCTCACTAGACACTGAAACCCTGTCTCAGAAGGATTCTTGAATTAGCCTAAGAGCATGTTCCTAACCTGAGGCCTTACACGGAGCCGTCTGGCCCCTGGGGCAGGTCATTAGCTGCTCGGTGGCCCTGGCCCCAGGGAGGGAACAGTCCTCATTAGCAGAGCCACTGATCCCAAGCCTGAGGACAGGCTCTCTTGGAAACGAGTGCTTACATATTACACTCTTTCAAGAGGAAATTCTAAAGGTAGGGGAGAATGTCCAAAGAGGGAAGGAATTTGGAGAAGAGCAAACTGACCAGCTGCTCTTTTGACAAATCTTACCCTAAATAACAACGGGGAAGCATTTTCCTCTTTTCAAACATTGTTTCCCTGTGACGTGCATCACCTGGGGTGAGCCTTGGCCATACAGTAGCTTTCAGCACCTCCAGCTCTTGCCTTCCAGAGGTGTTGGTCCACTGTGTTCTAAGACCTGATTGCTGCCTTCCTTCCCTTTGGGGTAGCTGTGAGGGGGACTCTGTCTCTAAGGGCCTCAGCAAAGGGGATCACACAGATCCAGACTTGAAATTGCGGCTCCCTGGTCTGAGAAATGTTCTTGGGATGTTGGTTGCCAACCCCAGCACTCTTGACAGCTTAAACGCCTTGTCACTTGGAGAGGAGAAATTGAGATGTCAGAGGACTTTCGCCAAATCCCCAGGAGATTAAGGCTGTCTGCGTATTGAAGCAGGAAAAGGTAAACAAAGGGATGTTTTCAACTGATTTTATCTGACACATCTACATTGTCTGGGATTAAGGACATTCTGAGTGTGTGCCATCTCAGAAGCGACCTTGACCTTGAACGTTCATGCTTCACAGCTGGCACATCCTAAGGCCTTGGACCCCTGAAGCCTGCCTTATGCTGCACAGCACCTGTGCCTTCATTCCCTTCTCCAGCCCTCCTGGGGTGGACAGTATGCCCCAGACCCCACAGCTCCTGCCCCTAGCTGGGTGCCAAGGGCAGGGGGATGGGGGTGCAGGCCACAAGAGCCACCTAGATCTACCACAGAGCAGAATGCCTCATCACCCGGCTCTGCCTGCTCACCCAGGACAGGTGAGCTTCTGTGAGACTCAGCATTGTAGAAAACGTCTACCCCGTTATCCTCCTCTCAGCTCACCTTAGGTGGTGGCTTTTCTCTGTCCCTCTTGGTGTGCTGCTTCCCCCTGCCCAGGAGCTTGGCCTGGGACAGTCCCCATAAAAGGATCTGGAGGGAATCAGGGCCCCTCTGACCTGTCTGCCTTCCTGACAAGGAAGAAGGTGGGAAAGAAGAAAATACGGAATGCAAGGAAAGGATGGCCCTTGGAGGGGAAGGCAGGAAGCAAGAAGGAAAGAGTGGACAGTCGGTGAAAGATTGTGGCCAGGTGCTTGGTGCCACTGTCACTGAGGGTCACCTTATCACACACTGGTACTTCCTGGTGCAGGTACAGGGCCCCCTCCCCCTGTAGGAGTGTACATGAACATAGACATGTGAATACACAAACAGGTACACACACACACACACACACACACACACACACAGTGTATCTATCAACATTGCTGTCCCAGAGACAAGCCACGCAACAGGTGGCTTGTCTTGTCCTTCTGTGCTTGGAATGGAGTTCTGCCAGCACACTGTCAATATAAGGAAAGAAAACAGTTACCTCTGGTCAAGTTCAGCCAAGCTGCGTTGTTTACAAAACTGCAGTTCCCATAAATTCAAACCCAGAGTGAAATCCCCGTTTCTATTATGCTGATGGGGTGTGGCAGGTGCCCCTGACCAGCACGACACAGACCCAGTGAGGCAGAGAGGAGGGTGCAAAGGGCATATTGGGTACAAATGTGAAGAAATAATAGGATGAGAACAGAAAGGAGCCACCTAAGAGAAAAGCAAAAATCCAGAAAGGCAGCTTTGAGGATGCTCTGGAACTCTGGTTGAGAACAAGAGATGAGAAATACAATGTTCCACACGCAGCCACCTGCCACCTCCTACCTGAGAGGCAATTACTGGGTTCTCTGGACAAGGCATTAAATATGAAATGACATTGGTATTGTTTTCCACCAAAGAAGGTTATGTTAACAGTTGTTAAAGACCTGAAGAGTCGGGCATGGTGGCGCTCACCTGTAATCCCAGCAGCTTTAGGAGGCTGAGGCAGGAGTATCTCGAGTTCAAAGCCAGCCTCAGCTACTTATAGAGGGCCTCAGCAACTTAGCGAGGCCCTGTCTTAAAATAAAATATAAACAAAGATTGAGGATGTGGTTCAGTGGCTAAGCGTCTCTGGTTTCAATCCCCAGTACCAGGAAAAAAAAAAAAAAAAAAAAGACAGGAAAACAATAGTGTGTCTATAGCATCCAAACAAATCAGGAATCGGGGAGTGCACGCTGGTCCCCATGATAGCATCCTATTGAAAAAAAATGTGTCTATCTATGTGTGTATTTTTATCTCCTTCCAGGAAAGATTCCCTAGGAGGAAGTTAGCTTTGAAATCCACATTGACCTTAGAAGGGAAGTTGTATTTAATTTTTGTGTGTGTGGCTCACACTAGAGGAACATAATCTCTCTGAAGCATCTTTAGAAAGAAAACCAAGTCCCCCTTAAGAAAAGTGTCAGTCTCACCCATGTGCTCCCAGACCTCCTGCCCCTGGCCCCTGCCACCTTGCCAGTGCCATGCGGTGGGAGAAGCCAAAGGGGGAGCTGCAGAGGGAGTGGGCAGCCTGCTAACCTGTGCCTCTACCCACAGAAAAGAGTCTGCCAGCAGGTCCCGGAGCTGATGGGCAGCCCACACCACCCTGGATCACCATGGCCCGGCAGAAGCGGCGAGGGCCCCCAGACCAGCCCCTCAACCAGGAAGACAAGCCTGGGGTGCCGATCCTGAAACCAGAAACAGGAAAGCAGACCAAGGCATCCGACAGAGCCCAGGTGCTGAGAGCGAGCACCTTCTGTTTCTGGGCACTCAGTGGGGAGCAGCTGGGGCTGGGACCGCACGTCCCACATGGGCATCCCAGAGTCAGGCGGTCACCTGTGATGATTGCCAACATGTGGTCGAGGGTCAGCAAAGCAAAACCAGTGATGTGCCAGATGGTAGCCTCCGTGGTGGAGCAGTCTGCCTGCTGTGCGCTTGGGCTGGGCTGTTGGGAATGTGGGGAAGCATGTGAATCACTAGGCAGCGGAGACAGCGCTCTGCTCCTGCCTCCTTGGCAACACAGCTCAGCATCTGGAGAAATGGAAAGGAGGTTAAAATAACTTCTCGCTTAGGCACCCAGTGGCAGTGTCAGCATCTCCGGTTCGGTTCTTTGTGTGGTGATGATGAGACTGCACGTGCTGCTCGCGGGGGCTCCCTGTTCTCACCTGGGGCTGTAGGTCTGGAACCCTGGGTTTACTCTCCCTATTGTGGCTGTGTGAAGAAGGAGCCGAGCCTGCTGCAGGACCTCCTTCCCTTCAAACCTCAGTTGTCCTGGATCTGCGTGCAGGCTGAGGGAATTTATAAAAGAAATTAACCAGCCTGGAGTGCGTGGGTTCATACCGAGTGTTGTAAAAGTCACACGACTATTTTCAAACCCAGTTCGTGTTGAGTTTGGCATGGAACCCTGCCATGCAGCATCTGGGCCTGCGGCTGCATATTGGGGACAGGGAAGATGCCACGATGCACATGCGGGCTGGGGTCACTCTGGGCACTAGCGGGAGCTCCAGGGTTCTGATGCTGGACATCAGAGAGTTGTCAAGAGCCAGTGGCACAGCGCATCTCTGGAGAGACCCCTCGCAGCTCACTCTGTTGGGCTGTGTTTCTCCCTCTCTGAGTCCATTCAGCTGGACATTGTGTCCCTTTCTTGTCTCATCCTAGGAACCCGTGAAGCAAGCCGACTTTGTCCGCAGCAAGTCTTTCCTGATGACCCCTGCTAAGCCCACTGTGACCCAGAGGCAGGGGGCAAAGCTCAGTCTCAAGGAGGGTCTGCAACGAGGAATCTCGCTGTCCCATCAGAACCTGGGTATGAGATCCGCACGCGGATCCTGAACACGGTCATTGTCATCCTAGAGGGCTCCTGAAGTTTGGGCCTGCCCTGTCGAATTTCTTGCCATGTTGAGTTTTTTCATGCAGCTTTTATCAAGATGTAATACACACTCCAGGAAGCTTGCCCATTCCTGGGCTGCCGTTCAGTGAGGATGTCTTTATAGTGGGCCACCCTCACAGAAATCCAGAAATCCCTCACGTTCTAAAGAAAGCTCATGTCTGTTTGCAGCCTCTCTCCACTCCCATCCCCAGTGAGCAGGCAATCACTGATCTTTTCTTTTCTTTTTTCTTCTTCTTCTTCTTCTTTTTTTTTTTTTTTGTCTCCATAGATTTACCTTTGGGGAACATTTCTTATAAAACAGAATCATAAAAGATGTGCCCCTTTACACCAACCTTCTTTCATGGGGCATAGTGCTTTTGAGTTTCATCTCTGTTACATGGATCCATATTCTTTTTTTTTTTTTTTTTCATGGTGCTGGAGGTTGAACCCAGGGCCTCGTGCATCCAAACACACACTGCACCACTGAACCACACCTCAGCCCCAGTATTTCTTAAATCTTATTTCTTTGCAATAAAAGTTGTATAACAAGAGTTGTGTGCAGTGACACATGGCTGTAATCCCAGCCGCTCGGGAGGCCGAAGCAGGAGGATAGAGAATTCAAGGCCAGCCTCAGCAACTTAGTGAGAGGCCCTAAGCAACTCAGCGAGACCCTGCCTCTAAAAAAATACTTTTAAATAAGAGTTGGGGATGTGGCTTAGTGGTTAAGTGCCTCTGGGTTCAATCCCTGGTACCAAAGCGGGGGAAAAAAAAACGAAGTCATAACCACAAGAAATTTACCTTCCTAATCATCTTTGAGGGGGTGTGTGAACCATGTCATGTGTGCAGCCTCCTCCATCTTTCCTACAGTCTTGCTCTAAACATTTTTTTGGCTTTGCTGTGTGGCCAGGACTGTTTAAATCTGCTTCTAAGCCTTTTTATCGCATACATTACACGTTCTACGCCTGCATCGTCTTCACACGTTTACGTATTAATGAATTTCGTGTTTGGGAACACAGCTAAGACTTTGGCATGTATTTAAGGAAATGCAAAAGGCTGAAATGAAAACTCACACTCCCCTCTCGGGTTTCTGTTTATTTTTTCTCCTTTCCAGCGGCTCAGTCTGCGGTGATGACGGAGAAGGAGTTGCATCAGCTGAAGAGAGCCAGTTATGCTAGTGCAGATCAGCCTTCCTGGATGGAACTTGCCAGAAAGAAATCTCAAGCATGGAGCGACATGCCCCAAATCATAAAATAGATCAGTGGCGTGCCGATGGCAAACGTCCGCTACCTTGACAGGCCACTTAGTTTAAAACTGCCGATAAATTGTGGCCTACAGACTGTGAAACTCTAGATTGATTTTATCACCACGTCGTGACCATCCCGGGGAAGGCTCAACAAAGAGGACAAACACACAGCCATAATCCCGGGCTGGAGGGGCCCCCAACAAGAACAACATGGAAGAAGTCCAGGAACCAGCTCCTGTGCCCAGAGGTATGAATGCGAGCCTTTCAGAACTCCCTTAGTAAAGAGGCCTCAGACACGGCAAGCCCAGGACAGAAGCCATCCCAGGAGCCGGTGTGACACCTCCCCTGAGACCAGCCGTGTCTCCAGCCACCGTCTCACCTGTGGACTGTCTTCTCCTTCTGTGTCACCACCAGGCATGACATGTATGGTAAAACAGGGACGCCATTTCCAAGAGCAGCTATAAGACAACCTGATTTTGTGAAGATAGCCCGTCTGAGAAGGAGAGAAAGGGACATAGCAGGGTTCACGATTCATAGACTGTTTCCAAAAAGTGAATTTTTAAACTTTTCCACTAGGCATCTGTGTCCTCGACCGTTGCACAATTCATTGCCTGTTTAATAAAAGGTCTCAAAGACGCCTCTGTCGCGTGTGGGAATGTTATTTCTACTCACAGGGAGCATCCTCCAACACGGAGTTAAATGCAACACAAGGCCTCTCCCTTCCTCCATTTAGCCTCCCAACTGGGTTGGTTGGGGAATTTGATGTTTTTTGAATTTGTTCTCAGCCCCCCCCCCAACAAAAATTATGGTGTTCATTTTTAGAAGCCAGAAGATGATGTAAGCTTTTCTCGTCTCATCTCTGTGGTAGACCACAGTAAAATGTAAAAATTTCTTGAGAAGTTATCATTCATTAGCATCTGATTCCTCTAACCTGCACATTTCTATTAGAAACTGGGTTATCAGTATATTAGAGATTAGGAACCACGAATGTACAACGTGGAAAAGCCAGGCAGAATCTTAGAACTGTGTCTTGGTGGTTATATAATCACTCTTTTTTTTTTTTAAATGGAATATCACTATGTTGCCCGGGTTGGCCTCAAACCCCTGCCTCAAGTGAACTTCATTTTTACTCAGTCTCCCAAGTAGCTGGGACTACAGGCAAATGCCACTGTACGTGGCTCTTTTTGAAAACAGTTCCAGCAAGTTCCTTTGAACAAGCCAATCTCCTTGGGAATTTGTACAGCTGGAATCAGAATTGTAAGATCCCATGACATATTGTAATTTGATTTTATGTATCTTAAGGGCTACTACCTTTATTGTCTCCTTCATCTTCATGAAAATTATTTTTCTAGCTGTTAGTACTACATGACTTCATTGAGTCTAACTTTAGTGAAAAAGTCCCGGGACAGTTTTTTTTTTTTCCCCAATCAGATTGATTTATTAATTGCACTCTAATTTATTAATTCAGTACATCAATACTGAATTCCGTGGTGAATAGGCTCCACACAAGAGCTCCATCTAGCTAGCTTTGCTCCAAAAGCTTAGCATGAATATTTTAAAAAATACTTTTAGTTGTAGATGGACACAGTACCTGCATCTTAATTATTTATTTTTATGTGGTGCTGAGGATCAAACCCAGTGCCTCACACGTGCTAGGCAAACGCTCTACCACTGAGCTACAGCCCCAGCCCTTAACATGAATATTTTTAACTGGGAAAAACAAATGAAAATCATGTTGGCTATGATTACCCCAAACTATCATTTCTCCTGTTAGCAGAACATTTCAGATAAGCCATTTTGAGGCAATAGACTTCACTGTCACATCGAAAGTATTTGGTTCCGTTTTGTTCAGACAGAAGTTCCTACCCTCTGTGTGTTCCAGGATGTGGTTTAATTTTTCAGGTGCCTGGTGAGTTAGAAGGGTGCAGCTTTTTAGGACCCTAGGAGAATTCACGGGGCGTGGTCTGCAGCTGCTACCACCCTCTGCATGGAGGTAGACATCCTTCTGCAGTAACAAGAGGGGCTAAGACAGGAGCCAAGTCTTGGGGATGACTGGAAGTCTGAAGAGGCATCAGAGATGGTAAAGACCTGCTAGGACTTACCAGCCTTGGTTTTCCTAAGAAGAAAGATGAGCCAGGCACTGCTCTGGGTGCTCATGGGTCCTCTTCAGAACCCTTCCACAATCCTTCATGGATCAACACTCACCTCCACGTTGGAGCTGAGAAAACCAGGCACATTGAGGTTCAGGTCATGGTCCAAGATCCCACAGCAGGCAAGCCCCCGGAAAGTGAGGCCAGGCCCCACGCTTCCCAACTCTGCCCTCGAGGGATGTCCCTATCTCTGAAAAGCGCTGGGTGCCAAGGCAGATCTGTGTCCCCAAAGACAGTATAGACAGGGGAGCTCTGACCTTGACCTGAGGGCTCCTCTGTCCAGGGAACAGAGTGGACCTCATGTTGCCTGCCTGGTTGATCACCTTCACCTTCGTCCTCCATTTCCTCAGAAGAGCTGGGGAAAGTGCACGGGGTTTTCTGTTTCGTGGTTTTTTAATCACAAGCACCTTCCTGGACTATGTGGCACTTGCTTCCAAAATTCATTCCTCCGTTTCATGCAGTTCATAGCTGTATGGAGGCAATCTGCGGGGGTCCGGGGACATCCCCCAACTAATAGGTTAATCCTGTGGCACACCCATGTCATTTGGCAGGGGACACAATGAATAAACATTCAGTATAAAAGAATCAACAGGGCTGGGGTTGTGGCTCAGCAGTAGAGTGCTTGTGTAGCACGAGCGAGGCCCTGTGTTCGATCCTCAGCACCACATAAAAATAAATAAACTAAAGGTATTGTGTCCAACTACAACTAAAAAAAGTATTTTTAAAAAAAATCGGCAAAAAGCAGAAGTATGTGAAATAATGAGCCTAAAACAAAAGTACTTGTTAGTGCAGAACACCTCCTCGAGACTGGGTGGTCAGGAAAAGGTCTGCAGAGGAGGTGGCCTGATTATAACATCGATGGTGGCTTCCTGGCTGGGTGGAGGTGGAAGGAAGCGGATGGACTCAAAACTTATTTTAAAGGCATTATAGCTGGGTGCACGTCTATAATCCCAGCAGCTCAGAGAGCAGAGACAGGAGGATTGCAAGTTCAAGGCCAGCCTCAGCAACTTAGTGAGGCCCTAAGCACCTTAGTGAGACCCTGTCTCAAAATAAAAAACTAAGCTGGGGATGTGGCTCAGCAGTAGAGCGCTCACCTAGCACATGCGAGGTGCTGGGTTTGATCCTCAGCACCACATAAAAATAAATAAAATAAAGGAATTGTGTCCAACTACAACTAAATATAAATAAATAAAAAGGGCTGGGATGAGAGCATGTAGATCTTGGCCCCAGCTCCTGGGTAAGTGAGGATATGACTTACTCAAATAGCGAAAGAAGGTGAAATCCATAGGAAGGAGTCCGTCTTAAATTGAGAATCCTGTTAAGCATCTGACTGGAAATACCAAGTAGGCAGATCCAGTTACCAAACTGAGAATTATCATTATTTAGATGGGATAGAAATTCAGGGTCTGGAAGAGGAAGAAGAGGGTACCAGGATTGCCTGCCCCTAGGCTGCTCCAGCACAGGTGGTCTAGAGAGAGGGTCCACAGGAAGGGTCTATGAAGCAAGAGAAAGAGCAGGTAAGTGCCAGGAAGAGGAGGTGCTGGGGGAAGGGAGTAGGCGGTTGTAGGCTGGGGTGTGCTGAGATGGGATCAGGTAGATAGAACAAGTGTGGCGTGGACTCTGGGCACTCAGAAATCGTGACCTTGGCAAGAGTCCTTGGGGCAGAGTATAGGTAAAATAGGCAGAAGCTGCAAATCAGCTGAAACGGACTTCCAAGAAATTTTTGTGACAAAGGGGAATGAAGGGAAGGGAGAGGGGTTGGGAGCAGGAAAGACAGAAGGAATCGGACAGAACTTTCCCGTGTGCATATATGAACACGGACCAGGGTAACTCCACCTCATGTTCAGCCACAAGAATGGGATCCTAATTAGAATAAGTTATGCTCCATGTGTGTACAATATGCCAAGATACCTAAAAAGAACAAATAATGTCTAGGGCTGGGGCTGTAGCTCAGCGGTAAAGCACTTACCTTGTACGTGTGAGGCGCTGGGTTTGATCCTCAGCACCACATAAAAATAAATGAAGATACTGTGTGATCATCTGTAGTGCTGAGGATCAAACCCAGCGCCTCACACGTGCAAGGTAATATAATTTATATATATATATATATATATATATWATATATTTATATATATAATATATAATTTTATATATATAATATATATTTAAAAATTTCCAAAAATGTTGCAATAAAAAAAGGAGATTTTGTGTGAATGAGAACAGAAGTGATGGGAGTCTTTGGTGGGCTCTGGCCCACAGAGTTTTGTTTATTTGTTAGAAGGAACAAAACACTGTGGACCACAGAGAAGATTTATATGTAGGTGGGAATAAACTCACGGCAGAGAAGAGAAATAGTCTGAGGTTGGTCTTTGCAAGCACAGGTCACCCTCCAGAGATTCAGACCAGGGTGAAAAGCGCTCACTATAGACTGCTCTCCTTGCTCCTGGAATCAGGAGCCCTACATTTTGATCCAGCTGACAAGGGAGGACCCACTGCGATGACAACCTGGTGATTTGCTTTCCCGGCCTGACAATTTGGCATGAGTAATAGTGCTGAAGAAAAAAAAAAAAATATATATATATATATATATATTTTTTTTTTTTTCCTAATTGCTTAGATGCAACAGCAGTATGCATTTTGACCCCTCCTATATAAAGTGAGTATAACTTCTCATTCGTCTGGTTGTACAGGATGTAAGTTACACAGGTCATGTAATCATATATGCACATAGGGTAATAATGTCTGATTCATTCTATTTCATTCCTACCTCCACTCCCCTCCCTTCACTCCCCCCTGTCTAGTCCAAATTACCTCTATTCTTCCCCCTCCCCCTTATTGTGAATTAGCATCTGCATATCAGA